CTTGCACTGAAATGAATTTTGAGCCCTGCCAGCAGAGCCTGTGGCCTGGCTCTGTTATTTCTTCCTCTTTCTGTGAAGAGCTATGGGGTTTCCAGGTAGCCGCACCAGAGCGTGGCAGCACTTTGACGCTACTGTGACGCCAGGCTCCTGCCTGTCTCCACAGGCCACCGGCACTGCCAGCGGGACCTGGTCTGGGGGCTGGATCAAAGACCTGCTTGCAAAGCCTCTGAGCAGCCTTCTCCCAGCCTTCCCCTTCTTCTAGAGGGAACATAGGGAAAATTCCCAGCCTGGCTCCATCATGGGCTCATCTGGGGGTTCCTCAGACCTAGACTTCAGGGAGGACCTATAGGGCTGCTTGCAGGCTCCAAGGCACCTTCCTTCAGAGGCTGACAGAGCCGTAAACCAGGGATTGCCCTCTAAATACGCTAATGGATATGTGCCAAGCAGGGCAATGCACACAGCTGTCCCAGTGAGGTGCTTTGCCTTTCCCTCTGTCTAGCTCTTGATGACATTTAAATGCCCTTTTATGTCTCTCAACCAAATACATTTTCTCCATGCTAATGATACTCTGCACCTTGTGTCTGCCATCTGTCTGTAGCTCTCCAAGAGCTTTAGAGACATCAGTGAAATTGGAGTTCTAACCTCCGCCTGAGCTGTAAGGACTTTATTTCCCCAGCAATGAAACTGTAGCAGTAATGAAGCATAAATAGCTAAGAGACTTGCCCAGGGCTGGCAAGCCAGACCCAGACAACAAGGCTGCGAGAATGCGGTCCTCATCCTGCTTGGTGCTCTGCTGCTGCTGCTGGAAGGGGGTCAGCCCCTGACTGCTGCTGCCTGCTCCCTCCTGCATGCTAATGCCTGTGTGGCCAGGGAACAGGACCATGACCCGTGGCTCTAAGGCTGCCGCTATCTGCTCTGAAGGGTTTCCATGTTCATGGGGCACGCAGAGCATGTGTGGCAAGGGAGCAGCAGCTCAGAGCAGTGTCTGCACTGGAAACTCCTGCCCCATTGTCACTGTGTGTTCCCTGTCCCTAAGCCTGGTGAGACCAGCATGGGGGACCAGCACAGTGAGGCTGCCTCTGCCCCTTTGAGCTTGGCTATGTTTCTGCCCTGTAGCGCTGGGTGGTGAGGTTTGGAGACCATTCTGACGTAAGAGCATGGTCTAGTTTTGGGGTGTCATTGTAAAATAGCAGCGTGGGGAGTGGGGCACACATGTGGCAGTGTCATCTGCCTCAAATGGAGGGTGGCAATGAAACATGCAACTGCATTAAAAGAGCACCTCTGCAAATACACACAAAAATAAACGAATGACAGTAATAACTTTTAGAATTGAATCAGCCTGAAGAAGATAACAGCACAGACAAATTTCAAGCAAAATGGCAGCAAAGTCTTTTAATAAGGAACAGAGCACTCCCTCTGTGTTTGGTGTCCCAAACCTCCCCACAGCCATGCAGGGTGGTTCTACTGGTCTGCATTGGAACGGCTTCTTCCTCTGAGGCTGTTGCAATGTGTTCCCCAGTTGCCAAGTTGGTACCCAGGATAGCGAGGAGCCCTGCTCGCTGCAAACTGGGATAGGCCTCATCCCAGCACTGGAGGACGGCGGGAGGTGGGCACAGCCTTGTTGACAGCTTTGTTAGCTTTACAATTGAGAACTGTCTTTTATCTACACTGAGCTCTCCTGTGCCTTGCTGTAGGGATAGGAGACACAAGAACCTGTAGTTCCTGCAGTTCCCCAGTACTGGAGAAGGGCTAATGGTCACTGTACAAACTGTTGAGATAAGTTAGGCTGTAACTGTCACTTCCTCCTGCTACTAGGCTGCAGAGCAGAGCCTGGACATGCAGACCAGCTTGAGCAGTGCTGCCAGCGAAGGCTGTGGCTCCTGGTGGATGTCACTCACCTCTTCCCACCCTTCCCTTGTGCTAGTACTGGACACTGAGCTGAAATCTGTCCTCCCCCCACCACCACCACCACCTCCGAAATGAACTGGCCTGGTCTCTGCTGGGACAGTTCCCCACTCTGACTCAGCATGGAGCACTAGTGCCAGCCCAAAGGAAGGTGTGGAAGGCTTGGAGCCCATTCCCAGACAGCTTTTATTACTAAAAAAAAAAAAAAATTAAAAAAAACCAAACAAAAAAAACCCCACCAAATGAAAAGTGTCCTTTGCAACTTCCCACTCTCCAAATGCAGAGTTTTGGTCTTTAGCTCATCCTTGCTAGTTTTTTTGGAAACCAAGGAGAAGGAAGCCTTGCTGGACCGTCTGTCAGTCTGGCAATCCAAGTGCCTATGTTTTCTCCTTAGTCAGCTGCTGCCCACATGGGGAGGTGTATATTTGTGAAATCACAGAATGGTTGAGGTTAGAAGGGACTTCTGGAGATCATCTAGTTCCAACCCCCTGCTCATGCAGGGTCACCTAGAGCAGGTTGCACATGATTGTGTCCAGATGGCTTTTGAATGTCTCTAAGGATGGAGACTCCACAGCCTCTCTGGGCAGCCTGTTCCAGTGCTCAGTCAGTCTCACAGCAATGAAGTTTTTCCTTACGTTCAGACATAACTTCCTGTGTTTCAGTTTGTGCCCACTGCCTCTTGTCTTGTCACTAGGCACCACTGAGAAGAGTCTGGCCCCATCCCCTTCACACACTCCCTTTAGTTAATTCATAAGAACCCTCTTCATTTTTTTTCTTCTCCAGGCTGAATGGTCCCAGCTCTGTCAGCCTTTCTTCACAGGAGAGATGCTTCAGTCCCTTAACCATCTTACTGGCCCTTCACTGGACTCATCCCAGTAACTCCATGTCTCTCTTGTACTGGGGAGCCCAGACCCGGGCACAGTACTCCAGATGAGGCCTCACCAGGGCTGAGGAGAGGGGCAGGATCACCTCCCTCGACCTGCTGGCTATGCTCTTCCTAACGCAGCCCAGGATACCACTGGCCTTCTTGGCCACGTGGGCACATTGCTGGCTCATGCTTAACTTGTTGTCCACCAGCACTCCCAGGTCTCTCTCTGCAGAGCTGCTTGCCAGCAGGTCAACCCCCAGCCTGTACTGGTGCCTGGGGTTCTTGCTCCCCCAGGTGCAGGACCCTGCCCTTGCCTGTGTTGAACTTCAGGAGGTTTTTCCCTTCGTCTAGGTCATTAATAAATAACTTGAATGGTATCGGACCCAGTATTGACCCCTGGGGTGCCCCGCTAGTTACTGGCCTCCAACTAGACTTTGTGCCACTGATCGCAAGCCTCTGAGCTCTCCTATTCAGTCAGTTTTCAATCCACTTCACTGTCCACTCATCGAGCCTGTACTTCAGCTTGCCTATTAGGTGGTTATAGGAGACAGCGTCAAAAGCCTTGCTGAAGTCAAGGCAGACAACATCTACTGCTCTGCCCTCATCTACCCAACCGGTCATTCCATCATAGAAGACTCTCAGGTTGGTTAAGCACGATTTCCCCTTTGTGAATCTGTGCTGACTACTCCTGATCACATTCTTATCCTTCACATGCTTGGAGATGGCATCCAGGATGAGCTGCTCCATCACCTTTTCAGGGATGGAGGTGAGGCTGGCTGGCCTGTAGTTCTCTGGGTTCCCCTTCTTGCCCTTTTTGAAGACTAGGGTGACGTTTACTTTCTTCCAGTCCTCAGGCACCTCTCCTGATTGCCTCCACCTTTCAAAGATGATGGAGAGTGGCCTAGAAATGACATCAGCCAGCTCCCTCAGCACTGATGGTGTATCCTATCAGGGCCCATGGACTTTAGCAGGTCCAGTTTGCATAAGTGATCCCTAACATGATCTTTCTCCGCCAAGGGGAACATTTCCAGGGCCTGGAATTCCTGAAGGCCAACCTGTTCAATGAACTGCCTTGCTATCTTGCTAGGCATGAATTTTATGGACCAGCCCCTCTTGCACCGCAGCAATCACACTGACCCCAGAAAGCTCACACCATGTAAATTCACATCAATCCTCAGATGCAACAGCATCATCACACTCTTTTCCCTATCCTTTCATCAAAGTTTCATACCACAAGCCATGTTCAGTGCCAGTGCAGCTCTAAAGGAACTGACACCAGACAGGTCAAGATTTATATGAAGGGAAACAGATCCAAGTCTGACTTGGGTACTCTGTTTGGCTCTGTTTCCCTTGGTCCCACTGCTGCTTATCAACTTCCCCCAGGAGAAGTTGCTCGCAAGGGAAGGGGACAGCCTGCATAATTTGAGGAGTGATCGATCAACCCCATCACACAGCTGTGAAGCATATCATTTCCAAAGTGCAGAGAACTTCTCTTGGAGGAAAGAGGAAAGGTGGGGATTACAGCCTTTTGGGCAGAGGGAGATGATCTGCCATGACAAAGAAGCCAAGAAAGTCTTTTCTTAGAAAGTTTCCCCAGAAAGTCAGCTGTGACTGATTCTATCCAGGTCCTGGCACACCGGGGTCCTGGCCAGTCCTCTGCCCTTCCTCAACACTAGCTCTTCAAAGGACAGCAGTAGCAAAGATAACGTTTGACAGAGGAGCATGTTTACCAAATGTCAGTGAGTGTCCCTTTTGCTGTTTGCCAGGGCAGGATGAGAAGACCAGTGGCTTTTCCAAGGTCAGTCAGAAAAGCCAGAGCAGGACTGGGACCAAAACCTGCCCTTCTCCATCACATGTGCTCTTCTCACATGCCCCACATGTGTTGCCTGGTACAAGTTCATAGAATGAATTCTGCTCAGCACAGAAATGGTGTTTGTTTTCTTGTCTAACATTGCTGAGGAGCAGCTGAGGCTGAGGAAAGAGGCACTCTCAGGGCACAGTGTGGAACTGGTGCAGGAAAAGGGACCCAGCACCGAGCCTGTCACAACTGTGTTTTCAGACACAACATGTCATGCCCTCTGAAGAGTGCATGGCTGGAGCTACCGATGGCAGAGATCAGTGCTGGAGTCACCTCTCTATTCTCCCCTCCAGCCCCTCTGAGTCCCATGGGGTGCAGGGAGGCCAGCCTTTCCAATGAGTCTGAATGAATTTCTCCTTTTTCTTACAGGCCTTTGCACTGAAGCCAAGTGAAGAACCTCATAATTGCACTATACGTCATTTAACTCAGCTAAGATTTTGTTAGCTGTGAAGCATCTCTTGCCATTGGGAAGGACTCCTCCACCAAGACAGAGACCCTAAGCTCCGTTGTCCTTCCCTGCCCCTGCCTGTGACGCCTGTCTCCACGCTTTGAGGCCAGCACTCAACAGTAGCTTTATTCTTCTTTCCTCTCATCAGACCATTCCCCAGCCATGTTCCAGCGTTTCACCAGCCTCTTCTTCAGTGACAGCAACACACCAGAGGGCCTGGAGGAGCCCAAACCCTTTGTCTCTGAGGAGGAGGAGGAGGATGGATGGCTCATAATTGATCTTACAGGTGAGAAAAGCAAGGGGGATTGGTTTCATACAACCTATGATGTATCTTGCTTCTTCTGGCCAAATCTCTTCAGAGGATGTCAGATCTTGCCAGCAACCTCCAGCTGAGCTTTCACGACGTGTTTAGCTCTGCCCTTCATCCCTCCTTCCCTGCTTCCCCCTCACCTTGGCCTGTACTCGCAGCTCCCAGCATGGGCCAGGCATAGAGATCTCTCTTGTCTTTGCAAAAGACCCCAAGCTGACCCTTCTTCCTTTCTTTGCTCTCCTAGTGGCGATTCCCAACTCTCAGCCAGCTTGGGAGAAAACGAGTAACAGCAGCTGCTTTCTGGGTCATGGGTACTGGCTGTGTGCCTGGTAGCTTTCAGGTGCTGCCACCCAGCTCCCCTGGGGACAGGAGTATCCCTCCTCACTCTGGTTTTATCTCTAGGCAGGCCCAGGGGAAAAGGTGCTCATAAAAAGGCCACTAAACTTCAGACAAACAGGATGTATCCCACTGGCCCAGCTCTTAACAGGACACCCTGGACAGAACAGTGAGGGAGAAGGTCTAATGAGACCCAGCAGGAGGGGACAAGCCTGATTTTGCACCTTTGGAGGCAGTGGCCAAGCTGTGCTTGGCACCAGCAGGGGACCTTCACCCAGCAGCACTGGCTCTTGCCTTTGCAGGAGTCAGGGAAACCCTTTCACTAGCAGTTTTCAAATAGCTGAGAAAAGCATTCCTCTCAGGACATGCCCAATAGCTGGGATAAAATGCCCAATAGCTCTTTTCATGTGACTGTAATCAAAGACAATCTAGCTCCAACCAGGCACAAATTCTTTAGCACTTAGAGGAGCCTGTTTGTGGATTATGGACCAGATCCAAGGATCTGTCCCAAAGCACAGTTTGCAGCTCCCAGAGCTTACTCCTGTCCATTTAACAAGCAAGAACCAGAGATCAGGAAGATCACCCATGATTTTCCGGTGCGTTTCTACCAGCTGGGGGCTTGCTGGATTGGAGGGATGCCAGCCCACATGGGCTGTTTGCCTGTGTGCTGGGTCAGCATGGCATGGCCTTGGCTAAGCAAGGCTATGGTGTGGGCAGTGGGAGCTGCCGGCACACCTCTGGGGAGGAGCCAGCTGCCTGGCTAAAGGCCAACCTCCATCGGCAGCTGCAGGTTGGTGAGGCACCCGGCGCAGTTGACTGCTTCGCTCGGTCATGTGCCCCTGCCCTCCCTGAAGCTGAACTCTCCAGTTGTGTGACTGCAAGGAGGATTTAGGACAGCCTTTTTTGCAATTTGCAAAAGATGCTTGTAGGGACAAATCGTGCCCTGGTAACTATCTCCAGAGCATTTTGATTGCAGCTTGCCCTGCGGTGGTGTCCCCTGGCAGTCCTGCTTGAGGGGCAGCACTTTGCCAGGCTCAGCCCCAGAGGATCTGGGCTCAACCTCTTTCCTAGCCAGCCTAGCAAGGCAGAAGGAAGGCTGGGCATTCACCTTATGGCCTGCCGAAATACAAACAAACCTGGAGTCCATTCACCTGGGGGAAACCCTACTCCCTGGGCCCTGACAGTGAGCCAGGGAGGCTCACACAAGGGAGGGCAGCAGCAGGCAATGCTGCAGTGGGCGGAGGCCCAGAGGGCTGTGTGCAGGACCCACGTTTGTGTAGCTGCAATGCGTTGTGTCAGCTATGGCCTCCTGGCTGTCGTGGCTGAGGCTGTGCCGCTCCAGGGCCACCCTGATCTATAGCAATCCAGCAAGCTCTGCTCCAAATTTGGGCTATGTGGGGCCATCCAGGAGAGCAAATCTAGATTCTGAAAGCTCTTTTGATAGGCTTCATCTTCACAAATCATTCCCAGTGCCCTTGCCAAGAGCTCTCAGACAAAGTTTGTTTGGAGCAATGTAGCCCTATCTAGAGAAAACCTTGCCCTCTGGGGCTACCTGTTCTCGGGAACATCAGAGGCCATCCAAAGCTCCATTTGACACTAGACAGAGAGGTCAAATTCCTTGTGTGGAAAGGGCTTCTTAATCGCCATTAAGAGAGTTTGTGCCTTTGCCTATTGTAAGGTTGATGACTCAACCATATGTAATGATAATTTTATGACCTTTTGCTTGCAAATTAAGCAGTGAACTTACGCAAACAAGACGGTGTGCACTGCAGCCCCAGCCCATGGATTTCTGCTTCTCAGCATCCAACATTGTTTTTTACAGACTCTCATTAGTTGCAGTGCCCCAACCCAGGAGACTGCTAACAGGTTTAGGAGGAGGGTTTAGTCCTCCCTGTTGCAGGGAGGAAGCTGTGCTGTTCTCTGCCAGCCTTCTGAGCAGATTCTCACTGCCTGTCCCACACGTGCTGAGCAGAGCACATCAGCCTCAGGACGTGAGTGGCTCATTAAATTTTTTCCCCATGCACTGTGCTGGACAGGGCAATAGAGCACAGACAAGCCTGGGATGCAGGGCAGGGACAGGGAAGCCCCCATGTCTACCTGAAACACGATGGAGCCCAGATAAAGGCAGAAGGGTGGCTTGAGCAGCAGGTGGCTGTGGAGGATTCCCTGTCCTCTGGGCTCTGGTGACTGTCCCTCTCAGGTGGAGGGCGGTCAAAGCAGTGCCATGAGAGAGACATGGTTGCAAGGATGTCCCTGAAGCAACGTGCATGCAGCTGCTAAGTGTCAAGGCCAGCTAGCCTCTGATCCTGCTGCTGGCAACATCTGCAGCATGTCCAAAGCATGCTAAAAGGAGCCATAAGTTTTTCCAAACACAGAAATGCTTGGCCAGACCCTGAATCCGCTGGGTCAGAGACATGTAGCCGGCTCTGTGGGGATCTTGGGCTGACTTTGGTACTAAAAACTTCAATTTTTCTCAGTGGCTTTTTTTTTAATCAGCTAGCCTGGCCCTTGGTGCAGAGCCAGCTTTCAGCAGTGTGGCTGCATGGGGCCTGGCATCCCCACTGCTAATCCCCACCGGCACCACTACTGCATTTTCCTTTAGCATTCCCCCGCCAATGAGTGATCCATTTATTTCAGTCCTCTTTCTGAGCCTGGAGTTATGCAAAGCACTTCAAAAGCTAAGCCTGTTGGCTCCAGCTCCCATCCTTCAAGCCACAATGGCAGGCAAGCATGGCCCAGACGGGCTCATTCCCAGCCTTGAAGCAGCCTAGCAAGCCTCCAGATAAGTTCAACATCAGCCAGATCTTTGACCCACATGTTGCAAAGCGCACCTGAATCAACCAGATCTCTTGGGAGCATTTCAAATGACCCCTCTTGCTCCATCGCTGCCCGACTGGCTCCACTCAGCACCCAGGAACCCCTTGGAAGAGGTGGGCCACAATGAGGTGAAGCTAGTCCAGTTTGTCCAGGACAAAGGGAAGAAGAGTGTAAGTCTCAGGCTGGGAAAATACAGTTTGGCATGGCCAGGCAGGACCAGCATCATTACTCCTGGGGCCAGCAAGAGGCATTTCTCTGTGCTTAGAGATAAGGCTCCCTGCTGCAAGTCACCCAAGAATCTGGGAATCCTGAAACAGTCCTTGTGACATTAAAAAGTGCCTTTGCGAGGGATCTGGCCAGATAGACATGCATGGCTGGGGCAGGGGCTCAGCCAAGCTAGGTCCCCAGCCCTCCTTCTCCCCACATCCACAGACCCATGTGTTGTGGGAGCACTGCTGGAACCTAAGGAACAGGGGAAAACACTCAAACACAGACCCCTATCTGTCTGTCTCCAAGCTAACACATAACTCTCCAGCCTGGCATGTCAACAACTATTAATAGCCTAGTATCCACTGACCTGAAGAAAGATATTCTCCTGTTCTCAAGGCTAATTGTGGCCTGTACTAAGCCCCAGGCTGGGGCATCGTCTGCAGGATGAGCTGGTGACATCCGTGTCATGACAAACGCCTGCCCCTTGCTTCATGCGTCCGTATTTCCTCCTGCATGTTTGGGCACTGCAAGAACCATTGATCTCTGATTTCTTTTGCACCCTTACCCACCAGGAGGGTCACACCTGTCCATAGAAACACTCCACCAAATCCACCCCAACAAGAATGGGTCCCTCTAAT